CCACTTTTTTTTTTCTTTTTTTTTTAAAACTTTAAACAGTTTATATTACCTCTATCGGCCATTGCCTTCAAGAAATCTTTATATCAAAAACGTGCTCTCCGGCAGGGATTTTCCTTAGAAAAGCAATGGATTTAGACACAGAAAATGAAATCGTACAGCTGGGTTCAAATTCTATCTCGTTCACTTCTTACTGTTTCCTAGGAGAAGGCATGAATCCATCTTTTTGTAGCGACGGTTTAAATAGCAAGTCAGTATATACACAACAGCCAGTTTAGGTGTAGGAAAATTTCGATTTGAAACGTAACGAGGCCTGTTTGGCACCGCTTCTGTCATGAGGTTTTCCGTAAAGTGTCGTTCTTTCTACAGAAAGCACTATAACAAAATAATCTTGTCTAGGTACCTGTTCAGCTTTGGATCCGACTAGACTGTTGGGGGCCTCATGCGTTGAAATCAACGGCAGAGTCCGCTCGATATAATCAAATATTTAAAAAATAGAACATGTATTCCAGGCACAGGATTTTGTAGGCCAAAAAAAAAAAAAAATTTACTGCTGCTAAAAAAAACACTTCAAGCACACGGTGGAAATAAACCGATATATAAACATATGTAAAATCAAACATTGCACACTTGTTCGTAGAGGTATACTAAACAGCTGGCAAAGCGTGCAGCAAGCACAACACACACACACGCACAACATGCGCGTGCGCGCGCGCACACACACACACACACACACACACACTCAGAAACACATGTTGACACACACGCAGATATTTCACAGAGGTTGATATCTGTATTTGATTATTTATGTCTGTAAGTGGTTGCTGGGTGTGTGTGCGTAAGAGCTAATGTTAGTACGTATATAGTTGACGAAAAGTGTGTGGGTAGAATGTGTCAAATTTGTATGTATGAGTATCTATCTATCTATCTATCTATCTATCTATCTATCTATCTATCTATCTGTTCTCAGCTGACTATCTATCTATCTGCCTGTCCTCAGCTGACTATATTCGTCTCTCTCTCTCTCTCTCTCTCTCTCTATCTATCTATCACATTCTATTTAAAACTATCTTTCTTATTCTGTTCATCTTATTCTGTTCATCTCCCCCACACACACACACACACACACACACACACACACACACACACACACACACACACACAGACAGACACACACGCTCTATCTGCTAGCTAATCATATGTAGAATTTTATTTAATAAACTTACGGCGTACTTATCTTTAAAAAATAGTATTATAATATTTTACCTATAAATATTAGGTACTCACACACACACACAGACGCACGCACGCGCGTGTGTGTGTGCGCGCTTGTACCAGTGCGATACGGAGAGAGAGAGAGAGAGAGAGAGAGAGAGAGATAGAGATAGATAGATAGATAGATAGATAGATAGAGAGAGAGAGAGAGAGAGAGAGAGAGAGAGAGTACCTGTATACAGACGCGTGTTCATCATACGCACCGAACACTACAGCTATACGGGAGATGGCATAAACATTAACGCGCTCTCCGACTGCCACACGAACAGGAAGTGATTACAATAACAATGTCTCCCTTCCCGCCCCAACTTCACACACACACACACACACACACACACACACACACACACACACACACACACAATTTTCGCCAGTGGAAATGATTCGTTGCCTCTCATCCGGCATCGCAAGGGTCATCGGTAAGCAGAAGCTTCATTAATTTTATTTTTTTTGTCTCTTGCAGGATTTGACCCGCTGTTTACATTTCTGTGTTATTATTATTATTGTTGTTGTTGTTAACAATAATAATAATAATAATAATGATGATGATGATGATGATAATGATGATGATAATCATCATTATTATTATTCATTTATTTATCTATCTATCTATTTATGAGGAAATTAATACTATAGTTCTCTTTTTAACCTTTTATTTGGGTTCGAACATCGTTTGTCAATGCTGAACTTCAGTGATAAAAAAAAAACAAACAAACAAATAGTACGTAAATCGGACCAGATTCCCACATATTTGCAAACCGGTAGAATATTATTAAGTAAAAAAAAACAAAAAAACGCAATAATAATACTTAATATATAAACGGCAATAATAATAATAACAATAATAATAATAATAACAATAATAATAATAACAATAATAATAATAATAATAATAATAATAATAATAATAATCTGAACTATCAAAATACAAAGATGTTGAAATAAAATCTCAACAAAAAAAAAAAAATGTAATGAGGACATGAATAATTTCAGCCAGACTTGTGGTTGTTGAGCCCTCGAATGGATTGATTGGAAAAGGTTCCGATAAACTCATTACAAAATGTTGATTGCTAGTAGACCCGATACCTTAAAGAAATACAAAAAAATGATAAACTCATTAAAGTGAACTACAACTTAAAATACAAAAAAATTATGAAGAGCTTTATTTATGTAAAATGTATTTCTTTTTTACTTTTTTTTTTTAATGTGGTCAGTAGATGTCATGAACCCATACATGACCTTAGCTCTTTGGTTGGGACCCGGAAGGAAATGTATATACAACAGAAATCGAAGGAAATAATAATAATAATAATAATAATAATAATAA